CGAGATGGTGGTCCCTTTAATCAGGTTGCAGGACGCAATACACTTTCGGATCGGTCTGCAAGTTAAACTCCAACCCCCGAGCCCAACACAAATCCAAGCCAACTGTTTTGGCGGCAATCGTCGCACTGTCCGTCAGCTACCCTCTCCCCCTCTGGGAATTCGGAGGTGTTTTACAGAACACACCTCCGACTTCCAAGATATATATTTCCTCCTCCATCTCCTCCTCCTCCATCTTGAATCATCTTGGGTCTGCTTAGTTTTGCATCTGGGTCCCTCGGTCATCCTGGCTCGGGGCCGATTAAGAGGGGACCAGGGGGAGTACGTGAACTGAGGAACTGAGGCAGGTGGGGAGAGGATGGGGCTAGGGGGTGGTGAGAGAGGGGGAGCAGAGGGGGGAAGGGGATGGGTGGGATGGGGGAGGAGAAACTTTTTTTGTGTCGGATCCTGAAGGCCGATCGGCAAGTGCCCCGTGCTCAAGGAGGGCTTGCCCAACCCTGCCTTCAGCAGCCCCATCACCGAAGCGATGATCACGAACGGGCTGCTTTTGGGACATGGGGACGAGTAAGGTGTCGGAGATTATCGGCCAGGAGGTCAAGGACTACCAGAAGGCAGTCGTGGAGTCGCACATCCTAGAGAGAGTGAATGAGGATACTGCCCCATCGCCAGCGACGCCTAGTTCGATCTCCATCGCCAGTGGAAGCGTTGCGTCGGGCTCTTCAGCACAGACCCCGCAGAGCACCGAGAAGCAGAAAGGCAAGGGCCGCGGTCGTGGCAAGGGCAAGGGGTCGCCAGCTGCAAAGGTCCATGGGGTGCAAGAGGTGGGGAAGACCTATGCCGAGAGCGTTGACTACCTCATGAGCTACCTTAGGAAGATCAACGCGGACGACCCCCACATTGAGACCTACAAGAGGTTGTTCACGTTCGCTGCCCTGCGGGGGCAAGTCATCTTGGACGGCAAGGCCGTCGGGAAGGAGCAGGTCGTGAAGAAGTTCAGCATGCTCAGGAAGATCATCAAGAGGCAGGTGTACAACACTGCGAAGCTTGCTGGCCCTCGGATTTCCGACGTTGACTTCCCGCATGGTTTGGGTCCAATCGATGGTGGCGATGCTTCGCAATGCAGGTCGATCGCTAATATTTCTGAGGAGGTCGCCGAGAACATGATGGTAGAGCAGCTGCCTTTCGTCAAGAAGATCCTGGACTACTTCAAGATGAACCCGATATCTGCCAGCATCGACTGCCACATGGCGCCAGCGAGGATCTCCAACGAGGTGATGATGGAGATGTGGACTTACATCGACGCAGACACGACACCTACGAAGCTGCTGATGGAAGGCATCGTGCCAACGACGTGTTCTAAGGTCTTGCAGGTTCTCCCGTGCGAGTTCGACGAGGCGATCGACCAGTACGAGGCTCTGCTCCAGAAGAATGAAAGTTTCAAGCAGCGGGTTTCCGAGAGCGGTTCACAAGTGGAGGCCTTCAAGGAGATGCTCAACATGAAGATCAATTCGACCGTCGTGAAGCACGTTCGAGTGCAGCTCCTTGCCAAGGTCGTTCAGCACTTAGGGACGATGAACTTCAAGCGTAAAGTTGGGGATGAGGTCAAGATGGATCCATGGGTATCGAGCTTCGTCAGTTCCTTGATGAAGGTTGCGTGCGGGTCCCACGCCGTCAGCTCCAAACTCGGTGAGATGGCGGATGACGTGACCAAGATGACCCCCGTCATAGAGATCTACACGAAGGCCGCCATGCCATGGGATGAGTTCGTGAAGGTGTGGATCGATAAGATTAACAAGATGTCCCAAGTGATTGCGGAGGTCGACGTCGACGGCTTCAGGAAGAGCCACGACGCCACCATGGATGAGTTGAAGAAAATGGACATGACACAGCTTTCCCGAGCGATGTGGGCGCAATTCGAGAGCACGTTCAAGTACGGCATGACGAAGGCTAACGCCATCTCAGCCTACCAGAAGCAGTACAACGTGACGGGGTTGCAGAACGCCTCCTGCCCCTCTTCCTCCCCCGAATCGTTCCTCCCTCCCTTCCTCTTCTCTCCTCCTCTCTTCTCAAGGCGGCCTTGAGAAGAGAGGAGGGGAGGAGCCCTGAGGCCTTGAGTCAAGGCCTTAGGACTCTCTCCCCTTGCCCAGAGAATATGCTCCTCTTCCCCTCTCCTTACCTTCTCCCAGGCGAAGTTCCAGAAGGAGCTCATGGTGCTCGAGTGGCTCAGCGGGGGCACCGTCGGCGCGGGGCGCGTGGTCATCGAGGGGTTGCGCAACGAGTACGTCCCCCAGGTGCAGCAGGCCGTCACCCCGATGAAACCTGGTGGACCAGAGCCGTTGGATGATGATGATGATGAGGAGCTAACTCTTAAGAAAGTTGCCAGCAAGGCGAAAGCAGACGAGGAGGCGGAGTTCAATCTCGCTGGCGTTGAGGAGAAGCTCTTGGTTGGTAAGGTGCAGACGCACCTGAACGGCTCAACGTGATGTACGTGCAGAACGGCTTCGAGGGGTCCGACAAGCTCGGCATCGACATGATCCAGTGCGGCAAGGAAGCGCGCCCCGTGCTGAGCCAGACGTCCGAGGGCAACGTCGCGATCCCATACTGGGGCCGCGTCCAGACCCAGGCATACGGGCAGACGATGCACCCCAAGAACACGATTCCCATGGAGGTCGTGGTGGATGGCGCGCCTGAGGTCAAGACCCTCCTCTTCCTCGACGGCCTCCTGTACAAGAACGAGAAGTCGACGGAGTTTTGCCCAGCGTGGATCGCCGCTGTCTGGGCTCCGCCGAAGAAGGCAGGGATGGGGGAAGAGGAAGAGGAGCAGCAGAGGAGGAGGTGGATGGGGACCGAACGACTCATCCAATCGAAGGGCCGTCCAATCGAAGGGGTGAGTAGTTCGGCCCCCTCATCGACCTCCTCCGTCCTGCCGTCCTCATCCTCCTCTTCCCCCCGCCTCCAAGGCGAAGGAGAAAGAGGACGCCTCTGCAAAGGGCAAGAAGCGCAAGGCTGAGGAGTCCGTCGTCGAGCGCGGGCCCCTGGCTAGCCACGTGCTGAAGTACACGGTCCACTCGTTCGAGGTCGGCGCGAAGAAGTACAACGTGTCCATCCCCGTGCTGGAGGCGGCCGACATGCAGTCGACGGCGCCGTTCCCTGTCATCCGCGGGAGGGTGGGCCACGACGACTGCGAGAAGCAGAAGGCCATCCGCTCGGAGAAGGCTGGCTTCGCCCAAGGCTGAGCCTGCGCGCCTGTGCGCTGGACAGCTCCGCCTGAGCTGAGCTCGAGGCCGAGCCTGAGGTCGAGTTGTTTTTTGAGGAGGAGATGGGAGGATAATGAAGGAAATAAGGAGGAGGAGGAGGGAGAGAAGGAGTCCGAGGGGAAGTGGGATGGAGGGAGGAAGGAGGGAGTGAGAAGAGGAGAAAGAGGAGGAGCGACGAGAAGGGAAAAGTAAAAGGAGGAGGGAAGATGGAAGATACGAATACGGAATACGATACTAGGAGAGGGAGTAGGCGGGATGCCGAGGAGAAACAGGGAAAACGGAGGAGGAGGAGGACCCAGGCAAGTAGGACAGAAGAGCTGCACCAGCAGCGGCTCAGCTCCAGGCACGCTTTTTCTCTTGAATTTGCCGCCTCGGAGGGCGTCGAGAGCCCTCTGGCGGCGGCGGCCGTGGTCGCGCAAGACGGCCCTGGAGTCCGCGGCGGCCACAGAGTGAGTGAGACATCCTCGCAATTATCATTGCCGCCATTCGTCATTCCATAACCGCACAGAGCAGTACACGCCCCCAAAAAGCAATGTCAAAACACAAACGGCGACTATATATTTGAGACCATACGAATACACACCAAAGGATATACGTGATTTTCGTACTGGGTCGTGCAATTCGGCAACACAATCGGCAAACTTTGGCGAACGGGTTTCGAATGGTATTGCGTCTGTGTGGCGATTTTATGTACCGTCATCCGCGTGATATATCCAAACACATACACTTTTCGCGTATATGTTATCGGAATCACAGACCTCATGCATATTCACATGTTAAGATTTCATTATGTACCGAACCACAACGACCTTGCATAGTCAAACGGCCTAGAAGGCTCTTCCGTCTGGGATACAACCATCCCAGCGGATGCATGCTTCTTCGCTGCCCGAATGCCGGAGAGACAAAGATCCAGGGCTCGAGCTGAGCGGCATTTTGGTGACTCCGTGGGCCGTTTTGTCGGTTTGATTCCGCTCCGCAGCAAACAGGCAGAACGGGGGCATAGGTGAAGGAGGGGGAGGAAGGGAAGGAGGAGGAAGAGGAGGAGGAGGAGGAGGAGAAGGAGGAGGAGGAGGAGGAGGAGGAGGGAGGAGGAGGAGGGAGGGAGGGAGGGAGGGAGGAAGGGAATGCGCTGACGAAAAACGCCGCTATAGCTCGGGCCCTGCCAAGATCCACGTGCCCTCGCCCTTGGCATCGCTCGGACGTGTGCCTCTCTCCTCGGCGGGGACCTTCGAGGAGCATCCTCGTCCATCGTGCCCACAAGCCCTGACCTTCCAGAGAGCTATGTTTTAGCACTGGAGGCCTAAAAACCTAAAACACGGAGCGACACAGCCTAAATCCAAGACGTAGAATAGCTTTGGGATAGGTTTTTTAAGTCGGGTGCTATTTTTCAGCCCTCCTGCGGGCAATAGTTATATCCACATCCAGTGCGTCTTGGAGTCTTGGGCTCTCTTCCCCAGAAACCGTAGACGCACTGGATATGGATGAAAATCTGGCCCCAAGAGGCTTGATTTTGTCCATATCCAGTGCGCCTCGGCGTTGCGGCACCTCTTCCTAAAAAGTCCAAGACGCTCTGGATATGGATAGAAGTATTGCCCGCACCTCCTGGAAGGTCAGGGAAAACACGCACGAAAACGAAACACGCACAGCAAAACGGACGACCGAGCGACGGCGAGCGCCGTGGCTGCCGCCGCCGTCCGCCCTCGCCCTCGGGCGCGCCCCGCGCTTTGAAATTGGTGGCACGGGCAGGCGCGCGACGGGTCGCCGGCGACCGGCAAGGCGAGGGGGCGCCCGCCAGCTGCCGCGGCTGCCGCCGGCCTGTCTCGGGGGGGCGATCTCCTCGTGTTTCAAGCAGTGGCGAAGCGTGCCGGCGTGCCTATAGCCTTACCGAGCAGTGTTCTAAGAACCTCTTGTGGTTCCCACGAAATGTTCTTAGAACATTTCTGGCTGGGACTGTCTTGTTGTAACACATTGGGTTTACGTTCTAAGAACATTGTTTTTGTTCTTAGAACATTTTGGGGTTCTAAGAACATTTCGTGGTATGACTATAGGAATGCCGGGACGGTCGGTCCATGCTCAATGTTGGGAGGAGGAGGCTGGGAGGAGTGTCGGAGAAGGAACCTGCACAGTACCCATGCGGCTGGCCCTCGCCCGTTGTCCCATTTCTCGGCCTCCTGTGAGGCCTTCGTCGCCACCGCCGGATGCGCCTCGAGATCGTGGTCAGAACACACCCCTGGAGAGGTCTGGGGAGTAGCGGCACCGGTGCCTTTCGGCTTCCGCAACAAACGGAGGATACCATTGCCCGTATAGGCAGGCGGCCGCAGGTATCGTTCATTGCACCCAGGTGCTATTTTACGTTTCATCTTCGGGGGGCCTTGCTTGTCCCCCAAACTTGGTGTCTTCTCTCGTGCCCGACGCGGGCTCGAGGCAGACTCGACGCGGAGTTGGCGCGGATTCGACGCGGAGTCGACACGGGCTCGACACGGATCGGACGAACCCAACATGGACTCGACGCGGATAGGGCCGCAACGAGACAGACAAGGAGGAGTTGGAGGAGGAGGACGAGGAGGAGGAGGAGGAGGAGGAGAAAGAGGAGGAGGAGGAGGAGGAGGAGAGAGAGAGAGAGAGAGAGAGAGACACGCCCGCGGACGCGGGTCGCCGCCTCGGCGGCCGCCGCGCCGAGCGCCCGCGGGTCGCAGGCACTCAGCACCATCTCGTCGCCCAGCGCCATGCGGAGGACGAACGCGTGAGGCAATCTGAGGGTGCCCCCAACTCCTGAGATGCCGACGTCGAGCGCGACGCCGAAGAGGAAGACGTTGAGGGGGAGGACGGCCCCTCCACGGGACATTATCGCCCTCCCCCCGCCGCTCGGGAGCCGGCCCCGCGCGCAGCTCCCCGAACGACTCCACGTCCTCCACCGGGGCCCGGTGGCCACGGCGTGATGGCCGCGCCAGGCGCGAGCTCCAGGCCGTCGAGGTCGACGAGGATGTGCGTCGCGCGGCGGCCCTCGCCGAAGAGGACGAGCAGCTGGCCGTCCTCGGGCTCGATGCTGGCGATCGTGGCCACCCGCCCATCGGGAAGGCGGACGCGGTCGCCCTCGGCCGCTGCCAGGACCGCCGCCGCCGCGGCTCCGCCAGGCACCGCCGCCACCGCGGCCGCTGCGCCAGGCTCCGCCGCCGCCGCAGGGCGCGCCACTTCCTTAGCCCCCTTCATGGGGCCGTCTGCCCATTCGTCGTCGAAATCGTCATCGTCCACGAGCATCTCGACGGGCGCGGCCGAGACGGCCACCGCGGCCTCGGCGGCCGGAGCGGGCCCAGGGCCCGCGCCAGCAGCAGCGGCAGCAGCAGCAGGGGGAAGGGCCACGAGCTCCGAGCCCGCGCCCGTCCCCGTCCCAGCAGCACCTGTGGGCGCACGCCGCCGCGCCGCCAGGCGCTGGCGGCGGCGTCGCCGCCTCTCCACGCGCGCCGCGGAGGCGGCGCGCGGGCCAGCAGCGTGTTCTCCAGGCGCACCAGCAGCAGGCACCTCGCCAGCCGTGGCCCCAGGCTCCTGCGTCTCCGCGCCCGCGAACAGGGCGGCGGAGATGGCGGAGCGGGCCACGGCGGCGACGGTGCGCCGTGGGGCGCGCGCGAGGACCGCGGCGCGTACGGCCGCCTCCACCAAGGAGGAGCCGAGGGCGGCCGCGGAAGCCCCTCTAGGCCGAGCCATCGCGCGCGGGCGGGAGGCGGCGGCCATGCGATCGCTTGAGCCAAAATGGGAGGAGGAGGAGGAGGAGGAGAAAGAGGAGGAGGTGGAGGAGGAGGGGGGGGAAGAGGAGGAGGAGGAGGAGGAAGAGGAGGAGGAGGATCGCACGCCACTGAGGGAGAAAGAGAGAGAGAGAGAGAGTCCCGACGGTTCAGGCCGAACCCCCAGGGGGGGGCCAATCAGAGAGCGCCTGTTTCGTCACCTCGGCGCGGCTCGGCATCGGCAGCGCGCCGAGGGCCAGCGACAGCCCCCCCCCCCCAGGAAAAAACCTCGCCATCGTCCTCTTCGAGGGGCTCGCCCCTGTCTTTGGCATGAAGCCTACCTGCGAGGCAATTCGCCTCCGCTCCACTCAGCCCGAAAAGTCTGGAGACAGGCAGCCAGGCACGAACGGCGCCCAACGAATAGAGCAGGAGCTGAACCGCTCCCCGCACCCTCAGGCTGGGCCCCTGGCTCGACAAAGGACCCCGAAAAGAGCTCCCACGCCCTCGCACCAGGAGATCGCCAGGGTCCCAGCCTTTGGGAACGGCTGGGATGCTTGGATGTTTGAAAGGCCCGCTTATTCTTCCGCCCAAATTTCGAGCAGCGCGGCCTGGGACCCCGAACAGCTGGCCCTAAGGCCACGGGCCCCAGCAAAGACAGTCGCACATCCCCCACACACGAGGAACAGGACCACAGCGGAGCTTGTCCTTCCGAGACCGAGGGGGACTCAAGCAGCACATGGCCCCCTTTTGCCTCCAGGGCCTCGGGCGGGAACCCTCCGCAGGCCTCGGGAGCTCGGGACCGAGGGCCTCGGAGGGCGCGGGGGGGGGCTCGAGGGGGGTCCTGCGGGGAGGGCGTGGGGGACGTGGCAGCAGCAGCAGCAGCCTCCCCCCTCCGCAACACATCCAACTGCCCCTCGAAAACGGGATCCCCCTCGAGAGACACCGGAGTGAGCCCCTGCGCCCCATACGTTGTCGAAGCGCCCCTCCTCCAAGTAACAAGCCTCGGCCCGAGTGACAAACTTGTCCAGCTGCTTGCACAGCAAAAGCATGCCTTGCACAAGTCGAACAGTCTGATTATCGTGGCTGCTCAGGGCCGCCCCTGCCTCAGCCAGCCGATCAATTTCAGCATTTCCCGTCCTCTCGAACTCCGAAATGCGGCCTTCCCGCACATCGATACTGGTCGAGTGCGCTCAGATGTTTCCACTGAGTCAGCTCGAACTCCCGATCTCGAAAGATCCGCCTCCACAGGTGCGCTCGTGGGTTGGCAGATCCCCGTGCAAAACGCGAGTCGCTGCAACACTGCAGCGTGCCCCTATAGCCCGAGTGCGAGCGACGAGACTTCCCCTCCAATATGGGAGGTGGCCATCGAGCCCGCAAGATATTCGCCACATCTGGCGACCTGATCTGGGCAAAGAGAGGGCGGCACCGCCCCGTACCAGCCTGCAATCCAACGCATGTCCTGATCATAAGCAGCAGCGCCCCATCCCGCCACGCGGAAGGCGGGGACAGGCCGTCTAGGCCAGATCCATCACACAAAGATTCGGCCACTTTTTAGCATCAGCGGCGCACCCGTCCCCTCAGCATTGAACCCCCACGCAGAGTCCCGGGGACGGCGAGCGAGAAGCTGGCAGGGCTCGGGGAGGATGCCTCTGGTGAAACGCCTCTGGAGGTCCTCGGTACAGTTTGCCAAACGGCGAGCAGCAGCTTTGACATCAGGGGGAGGTTGTCCCTGCGCCAAGCGTCTCGCACAGGGCAGCAAAAATGGCGATGAAACAACGTGCCTAGTTCTCCACAGAGAAGGCACGCACTCGAAAGCTGAGGGTCATGCTGGTGCAACCGATGCTGGCACCAGTGTGAGCCTTTGACCAGGCCTCTCAAGGTCCGCTGCTCCCTGAAACCCCAAGTCCTACCAGTACCCTCCTGCGCCTCCTCATCTTCAGCGACCTTGAGATGGAGGCACTCGTTCAACGGGCGACAAAAACACCTCGCCCTGCCATGCCATGCCTCCTCCTATCTTGGCCCGGCCTGTCCAATCAGACAGCCGCCTGGCTGCAAACTTGGCACGGCGCGCCACAAAGGGCGGGGGGCACCTCTCTGAAGTCCCACTGAACCTCTGCGGACTCTTGGAGGGTTCACGGGTCCAGAAATGAGAGGCCTACTCTCTGGGCCTCCTAGATGGTGTCCGAGCGGATGGGGTCGGAGGATCGCGCCGCATCGTCGATGCGTCGGCGATGCGGCTCGGTGTGGAGCCCGATTTTCTACACGCGGGAGTCGCCGATGCATCGCCCCATGCATCGGCGATGTGTCGCCGATGTATCGGCGCTGCGGTGCGGTCCTCCGACCCCATCTACTCCGACCCCATCTGGGAGGCCTCTATACACGATTCAAAGTCAGAATCCGGGCAGCTACGGGGTCCTGCACAAGGGCCCACGGCCTATTCCTGGCGGCCGTTTCGAGACCCGCGGAGAGACGTGGGCACAGCCTCAGAGAGAAGGCGCTCCTGCAACATCCGAGCATACGTCTTGATCGCCTCTGAGGTCGCCAGCGCCAGGGGATCTCGAACCCAGCCGCCCAGAGAAAGACCGATATCAACATGTGATTATATATTGAGAGAGAAAGGGAGAAAGAGAGAGAGAGAGAGAGAGAACAAACAACAAACAACAACAAAAACAAGAGAGAGAGAGAGATAGAGAGGGAGAGAGAGAGAGAGAGAAAGAGAAAGAGAGAGAGATAGAGAACGAGAAAGAGAAAGAGAAAGAGAAAGAGAGAGAGAGAGAGAGACCGAGAGAGAGGGCTTTTTCACGCCGACTCTTATCTTAACCCGCCGACGGGTTTCCTAGCAGACCTGGATCGCACAAGTGACCGCATTGTGTTGTGCGCAATCAGAAAACCGGACTGGTGTACATTGAAATAGCTGGTGGATGAGCAGGAGGACGAGCAGGAAGAAGGGAAGGAGGAGGACGGTGAAAGAGGAGTAGCAGCAACAGGAGGAGGAGGAGGAGAACAAAGAGGAGGAGGAAGAGGAGGAGCGGTGGGAACAGGAGGACCATGGGAAAGCCGAGGAGGGGAGAGGAGGAGGGCGGAAACGACGAGGAAATATCTGATTCAGTGTGGCCCGCGCTGGTATCAAAGCATTTTGAGCATCGTGAGCAATGCTCCGATCCTCAAATAGCAGTGGGAGCACCATTTTGTTGGGAAAACACCTGCTCCGACAAACATAACTTTTGGTTGCCCGCGCGGGCCCCCAAACAGTTCGATGGTGTGCCCTGGATGAGTACCAGCCGGTGTGTAATCCTTGTGCTGTGCATTCTACGTGGTCCAGTGCTATGAGCTATAATTGCGCAGTGCAAGATATATGATGTGCAGTGCGATCCGCGTGGTACAAGCTACGTCGTACACTATAAACTCTAGACGCCTCGCGCAACCCCACCAGCCCATCCAGACACGATGCCCAGACGAGTTGTCCTGATCAGGGATGTGGAGGAGCATGCAGTGGAAGCAAGGGCTGGATAAGTCATACTCCAAGAGGGGTAGGAAGGATGGAGGATGAGCAGGAGGAGGAGGACGAGGAGGAGGATCTAGAGTAGAGCGGCAGCGTGCGGAGCACTCTCATGCCATCAGGAAACAGGAAACAGCAGGAGTAGGGGAAGGGGGAGAAAGAGAGATGGTGAAGGAGGAATTGGCGGATGAGGAAAAGGAGGAGGAGGAGGAGGAGGAGGAGAAGGAAGAGGGGGGCAACCAGAAAGGCTAGAGGCCTCCTGGATGCCTTCCAGAGTCTCTTCGGGTGTTAATCGAGAATTTCTTGGAATCCTCTTGGGGCGTCTTGGGGACTCTTGGCGGTCCCGAGGGCCTCTTGGGGCGCCTGGGGTGCCTCTGGGGGGTCTCTTGGGTCGTCTTGGGGGTTTCTTGGGAGCCTCTTGGGAGCCTCTTGGAGACCTCTTTAGGGCCTCTTGAGGGCCTCTTAGGGCCTCCTGTGCACTTCTTCGGACCGTCTTGGGGCACCCTTGGGAGCCTCGTGGGCCATCGTGGGCCATCTTTGAGGAGATCGATCAAAGGAGGGGAGCTCCTAAATCAGGCACCCCCCCATCCAAGAGGCCAACATGTGGGCAGACCTGGTGTAAAGTCATGATTTGCTTTTCCTCGCCGAGGCCAACAAAACCTTCTGTCACCTCTCGCCCCCCCCGTCCAGACCCAGGGGGAGAGGGCAGGGGGAGGGGCAAACCCCAAACCCCTCCCCGAAGGGGAAGAGGAAAGATGGAAGAGGGAACTCTCTCAATCACTCAAGCACCCAAAGGGCTGGTGGGATACACGTGGTGTTAGTCTGCATGCGACCCCGCGCGGGCGCCAACGCGCACCTCGGCTGGAACCTCGGCCGCCCTGGCCCCGCGAGGCGCCCACGGCTGGCCACGGGGCGCACCCGCGACGCCCGCGCTTGGCCGCCAGCTGGGCACCAGGCAGATCCGCGTGGACCCGCCCAGCGACGACGGGGCGCCCGCGAGGCGCCCACCACTGGCCACCAACGGGGCTCAAGTGAGGCCTCGGTGGGCCCAGCCAGCACGGGGCGCATGCGAGGCACGAGACCTGACCACGCGCAGAAGGGGGTAGGGAGAGGGGGGAAGGCTTCCCAGAAGCACCCCTGCTTCTTAGAAGGCGCGGGCCTTCTTTGTGGATGTAAGGCCGGCGCCTTCTAAGAAGCAGCCTCCTTCCAAGAAGCCTTCCCCCTCCCCCTACCCCCTTCTGCGCGCCGCCAAGAGACGCCGATGACCGGCCACCGGGTGGGCAGCAGGCGAGATTTCGGCGGACCCAGCGGAGTGCTCACCAAGCCAAGCAAGAGCCCCGAGCTGCAAGCACCGCGCGGGGAGTGGAAGGACGAGTCTGGAAGTCCTGCGCGTGGGGAACTGGTGCGCGGGAGATGCCTGGCCGCGACGCCACAGGTTGATGGGGGAAGGGGGAGTAGTATTCATGTTGAATCGTTGGTCAGGGGGGACGGATGCAGGAGGGGAGCGGGAGGGGGAGTGGGAGGGGGAGTTGGAGGACGAGGAGGAGAAGAAGGAGGAGGAGGAGGAGGAGAAGGAGGAGGAGGAGGAGGATAATCCCGTAGGATTGCCAGACTGTGCACAACACGAGGAACACAATGTGTTAAGTACGAGAAAGCGGAGAGAGCCGAGTATCTTCCAGACGGAGACAGGAGAGATAATAGAGTAGTCATCAGATGGTCAAATTGTTGGCACGGGGGATGGCGAGGAGGAGCTAGAAGGAGAAGGATGATGCTGATGATGATGCTGATGCTGATGCTGATGATAATGCTGATGTTGATGATGCTGATGCTGTGCTTGCTGCTGCTGCTGCTGATGATGATGATGATGTTGATGATTATGATGTTGATGATGATGATGATGATGATGATGATATGATGTGGATGATGATGATGATGATGATTATGATGTGTGATTATGATGATGAGCAGGAGGAGGAGGAGGAGGAGGAGGAGAAAGAGGAGGAGGAGGAGGAGAAGGAGGAGGAAGGAGAGGAGGAGGAGGAGGAGGAGGAGGATTGGAGAGAAGGAGGAGGAGGAGGCGGAGGAGCAGGGGAGCGGGATGTCGAGTGGGAGGGGGGGGATGTGGAGGAGGGTAAGATTGGAAACTCATGGGGGCTCGACCGAGAATCCGCCGCGTGTCTGCCGACCTGGCTGGGAGGGGGACATCGCGCGATCCCTGAGAGACCTGGGGCAGGCACTTTAGAGGGGGGTGAGGAGGAGGAAGAGGAGGTCAGGTCAGATCAGGTCAGGTCAGGTGACTCCTGGAAGTCTACTCGTTACACCAGCCATGCTACAGTAAGACTTCTGATCGTCGTCTTCGCGACATCCGCTCTCGATATGAAGCCGCTTCTAAGCCTGATGGCCTCTTGAGAGGGGCTCGCGCTGCCCCTCCAGGGCGATCCGCCAGAAGAGGAGGAGGAGGAGGAGGAGGAGGAGGAGGAGGAGGAGGAGAAGGAGAAGGGGAAGGAGGAGGAGGAGGAGGAGGAGGAGGAGACGGAGGAGGAGGAGGAGGAGGAGAAGAGAGGAGGAGGAGGAGGAGGAGGAGGAGGAGAGGAGGAGGAGGATGAGGAGGAGGAGGAGGAGAGAGGAGGAGGAGGAGGAGGAGGAGAGGAAGGAGGAGGAGGAGGGGCAAGGAGGGAGTGCGCCGGCTCCCGACCACGGAGCGCCCGCGGCAAAAGGGACCCGCGGCGCTCGGAGGAAGAGGAGGGAAGAGGACGATGATGATGATGATGATGATGATGATGATGATGATGATGATGATGATGATGATGATGAGGATGAGGAGGAGGAGGAGGAGGAGGAGGAGGAGGGAAGATGATTACCTGGGAGGACGAGCAGGGGGAGAAGGAACAGGAGGATGAGGGAGAGAGGGATGGAGGGTTAATGTACTGGGGAAGTGTTTTGGAGGAAGCGAAAACATCCGCACTCGCCTTGCCACTTTCTGGATTGCGGCAAGTCTTTGAGCAGTTGAGGGTTGCATCTTCGTTATTGCTGGAAGGGGAACGCGGGCGGAGTATCTTGAAGCCTCCAGCCATTCTCTCTGAGTGGGATCCGCAGTCCAACCAGCAGCACCTGGCACAACTCTCTGCATTGAGCTTGTCGATGACGTTAGTGAGGAGCCGTTGCGCTACTCCCAACGTGGGAACTGTCAGCCCGGCATGCGCTTCGGCCCGAGATTGTCGACTCCCAGATCCACTGGGACATCTGCGAGGCCGAATGCGAGCTCGAGCGCATGCCGGAGTACATCTCAAGGCCGACCAGGAGAGCAAGTTACTTTTCGCACCCTGGAGAATTTGCAGCCACTACCTGTCTTCGGGAAGTTAGCCCTTCCAGCACTGGTGAGGTCCGCTCTGCAATTCTAATTCTGGCGTATTTTTTGTTCGCGAGGGGCCGACAGGGGCAGGGTCGCGGGCCAATACCTGAAAGCATACGTGGCTCGGTGCGCCGAGGCGCCCTCGCGCTTGCTTCGCTATGTGCTCACTACAGTGGAAGGCAAGGCCCCGACACGCACCTTTTTCCGTTTTCTGCGATGTTGCAGCAACAGCTAGTCATAAATTGCGGGATCGGCCCGACACTCACGCAATGCTTCTTCCTTCGCAGCGACGAAGCATCAGCCCGACAGGACATCAACTAACGGGTCGTGTTAGTTCCGCCCGACGCGCACACACAAACGCACAGCCGCGCACCGCACACGCACACACAAGTCGTTTGCAGGGAAAGCGTTCGTTCTTTCAGACCGCGGGCCACCACATGCGCAGACCCTGGGGACAATCATGCGGGCAATACTTCTGTCCATATCCACTGCAGTATGGAGTTTCGGGCTCCCTTCCCAAGAAACCCGAGGCGCACTGGATATGGATAAATTTGCCCCCTAGAGGCTCGATTTTTATCCATATCCAGTGCGCCTCGGCCTTGTGGCGCCGCTTCCAAAAAAGTCCAAGAGGCACTGGATGTGGACAGGAATCTTGCCCGCAAATCACAAGGGAATCGTTGGTAAGTCACGCGGAATAGGGTATGCGCAGACAGTAGACGCACACACGCCCTCACACAGTTTGGCGTCGCGGCCCTCGGCGCAGCGACAGGGCGGAGACGGTCGTAAACCAAGGGCAGAGAAAACGCCCCTACCCTGGTTTACGAGGCGCTGTGCGCTAAAACTCCTGTGGGCTGACAGGGTAAACCCTGCGTGATGTGCCGCGTCCTGGCGGCTCTAGGCTTTGGGGGTTCCCAGGAGTTTTACAGACCGCGCACTTGTAACCCAGGGTAGGGTCGTTTTTTTCAGCTCTCAAGTAAAGCAGCAAGATTTGACCCTTTGTGCCTGTGCTCTTTTTCGCCTCGCCCCTCACTGCCACCCATCGTTGCTGATAAGTCCTCCGGTCCGCATTTCCCGATCGCGCAACCAAGAGTTCTCGAACGACAGTGCGTCAGGCACGCCGAACGAAGTCGCACTTGGAAGCACCTCAGAGTATCACCAACATTGTAAACATCGTGATATTGCGTGTTCATCGGCAGGCTGGATTGGCACTGCGTGTGCCGTTTGATGGAACTGGCGAATCCTGCACAACATGAATACATCCAATACCAGCCGTGCTGCGGGCCTTTCCTGTCTGGAGTCTGAGCGCGAGATGTCACGTGTGGATTGGCATGCGAGATGTTGGCTTTTACGATGTGCTGATATCTGTAATGGTTTTACAGAGGTCGTCCAGCATTGATGCTTCTGCCTGTGCACCCGTCGACAGATCCATTCCATGGGACGGCATCGTGGCGATCGGCAACGCGACCAAGGACCAGAGCTGGTGGCAGGACCCTGCTGGCGACGACCCGACGCTCTTGTTCAGCATTGATGCCAGCGTTCGAGACCAAGACCTCGACAACGTGCTTGCAAGGAGTCGGGGAGGGAGACGGTCGGGGTCAGGGACAGGATAATCTTGTCGTTGCTTGTCAGGAGTTTGCCGCCCAGGCGTGTCCCCAAATCTTCAATTAAGATGTGTTTGCGCCCGGAGTGCCAAGTGGTAGGTTTCGAGTTTCAAGTGGAAGGTCTGCACTTCCATTCGAGAGGCTTTTGTATCCTCATGGCTTCCTTTCCAGAGTTGAAGAGCATGATGGTTTTTCGTGTGTGTTTGTGTGTGCGGTGTGTATGTGTGTATGTGTGTGTGTGTGTGTGCGTGAGCTTGCATCTTGCGTTCGTGTCATCGCCACCGGGCCAGAGGGCGAGGGACTTAGAAAAGCCATGGCGTGGAGAAGGTTCCCCACGGAGAGCTAGGGCGAACAAATGCCGATGGCTCCAAGCCTCCTGGCACTTAACACGCCACCATGTATTCAAAATGCCCCCAACCAACATAGCGAAAGCTCAAACACGTTAGGGCGATGATCATAGCATTTCCATGAGAATTCTTCGCGGTTGTTGTGGGCAGATTCGGTGAGAAGCTGGGGATATTCTTCAACACCTCTCAGAGACTTGGCCCACTCGCAGGCCCATCCCCTAGTTTTCCCGCGGAGCAGGCGAGAAGGCAGGAGAGCAGATGTCGAGTGGGGGTTCGCCTGGAGTGGGATTATCGGGCCCCAATCTGACCATCCTGGTGCAGATCCCTGCCCTTACGATTTACATCACCTCAGGTCGGTGCCGATCTTGAGGAATCCCTCGGTCTCCGAGGGCACGTCCTCATGAATTACATCGCACTGGGCCTGTGACTCTGCGGGATAGGGATGCGCCCGATGCCGGTTACCCTTCTCCGCTCCCAGGGCGGAGGAGGCTGCTCGGTGCGGGGCCGGCCGCGCGTCCGCGGCATGCCGATCTTCTGTTGGCGCGGGCCCGTCTGAGTTCTGCGCGAGGCCGTGGCCTACTGCGGAGGAGGTGCACGAGGGACGGAGGCGGCTCGGCCGAGTCTCCTGCGGCATGCCTCCCCCGAGGTCGGCCCGCCGGGTGCGAGCCCCGAGATCGGCCCGCCGAAGGCAAGCCCATCCCCTGCGAGACGGGCGCGCGATGGCAGTCTCCTGCCGGCCCGTGCGTCCGGAGGTGCTCGCCACTCCTCAGGGGGGGGCCGTGCAGCAATGCGCACACACAGTCTGCGCTTCTCGTGCGGTCGCTTCCTGTGGACATCTTGACTGTTATCCTGCGGTGGTTGCCCGTTGCCCTGCGTTCCCAACCCCACGGTAGGCCCTCGGGGTTGCCCCAGCCTGTTGCCGTGTCCTGTTCCTCCCAAGCAGCGCGTTCACCTCGGAGGGGCAAGGGGGGGTCCGCACTCGAGCTATCAGGAGCTGTTCGTTTTGCGAGGCAGGTGCTGCTGTCGCACCATCGGGTTGCACGCGCCGTGGTCTTCGGACCCCCTTGTGGCTCCACGCGCCTTTTTTTCCCCGTGCGGTCCAAAAGGCGTGGCGTTTGGAACCCCCTGGGGTTCCACACTCACGGGGTGTCATGCACGGGGTTCCACATGCATGGGATTCCACGCCTGAATGGCTCCTCGTGTATGGGGGTTCCACGCAGATAGAGTTTCTCACACATGGGATTCAACGGACGTGGAAGCACACATGGAGTTTCGCACACACGCACACACATGGGTTCCACCCGCACACACGCGAACACACACACACACGACATGCATGCGGGGTTCCAACACATTGGGATCCACACGGGGCTCACGCTCGCAGCCCGAATACACTGGTTGGGTCCACGCACTGGCATAATCTTACAAAGGCACCCGCTCAATTCGCCTACCGCTATCACCGACTGTCGTTTCTGCTTTTGCTGAGGCTGATGCAGCACAGCAGTTGGAGACTGGAGTTCACGCAGCGCA